TATCATCTTTAGTCAATCAATGAATGCCGCGTGTCTCTAACAATAAAATGTTGCACTTGGTATTAAGTACCTAGTTGGTACATGGATTTTTTTTAGAGCTATTTGATACTTGATCTTTTAATCTACCGAGTACGTGAACTTGAAAACAGTCACGTGCTTTAATCTAAAAAATTTAACTTTATTAATATCTTAAAGTCAAGTGATATTCATTGATTGGCTAGAGATAACACATCAGTAAAATTCTAACATAGTTAAAGTTATTTTTGTATAATCATCCAACACATTAATCGATTAATCTAAATTGAATAATACAAAGAACAATCCACTCAATAGCAAGAACCAAATCTTCATTGGGCCACTAATTGGATCTGTGTGTAGGCCCAAATGACCTCCAATCCTACAAACTAAAGATCCATTTGGAAACTAATCGACTCATCGCATACCAACTATCTCTCCTAAAATTATATATATTTTTAGTTTTACGTTGATCTAAAATTATTAGATAAGTAAAAACGATAATTGAGATTATTTTTTTCAATAAATATCTTTTTATTTTTTATTATTAATTTTATCTGTTAATTTTTACTTATTTAATAATCTTAAATCAAATTGTATTATAAATAGTAGTATATTAATTATAAATTTTTAAATACTGATATAAACCGACAAGTAGACTCAAGTTTGATAAAGGTAGCAGAAAAACTTGGTCGCGGCTTGACCCTACAAGATCTGATCTACCCATCCCTATCAATATTTAATCTTCATCGCAGAAACATGTTTTTTATGCAGATAAGGTCAGTTGAAAATTAGATACGAGTATATACAGTTATTCAAATATGAATTCCTATCATATACACGATATTTGAAATTGTTGAAACTTTTATATTAGTTAATAAAATTTTTATTTATATTTTATCTGAATTATTTGATTTCACATCCTTTGAAATTTTATAATCTCGCACTCCTAAATTTTAAATATAAATTTTTATATTCGCATCCCTTGACACAAATTTTTGTGTTCTTCCTTATATATATATATATATATATATTTCTTGAAATTGGAATTTTTTTTTACAAGATGAAGCCATTAGTTTTATCAAAATTAAAAAAATATTCAAATTACAATGGAAGTATACAATCACAATCATAAATTAAAACACATAATAAGAACATTTTCATGTAACCACATTAACACAAGAAACTAGCCATTAAGATCACAAAAGATAATGTAAGAAAAATGTTAAAAAGCCACTATAGCAAAAGTGTTTTTTAGCGGTGTTTTCAGGGTAAACACCATAAAATTTAAGTATGTAGCGGCGTTTACAATCCAAATGCCACAAAATTATACTTTAGCGGCGTTTTTTCAACAAACGCCGCAATAGAGTGGTAATGTAGCGGTGTTTATAGCTCAAACGTCAGAACATAGTTGTTTATAGTGGCATTTTCCCAACAAACGCCGCAATAGAGTAGTAATTTAGCGATGTTTTTATACAAACGCCGCAACATGGTTGTTTATAGTGGCGTTTATCCAACAAATGACGCTATAGAGAAGTAATTTAGCGGCGTTTATCAAACAAATGCCACAATAGAGTAATAATTTAGCGGCGTTTTTCGTACAAACGCCGCAATATGTTTGTTTATAGTGGTGTTTTTATAAAAACATCACAAAAACATGTACTATGGTGGCATTTTTTAAAAAACGCCGCCAAAATGGTCAATATATGCCCCACCCTTCTCTCCTGCCCGATTCCTAAAATCATTACAACGCTTCTTCTCTAAAAGGGATTTATCTGGTACAACAACGACCCTCATACAATTCCAGGCGACGTCGTCTTCTGTCTCTCCCGGCGACCAAATCGACCCTCTCACCGGCAAACAGTTATCTCACGATTGAACGGTTTGAACCCTTCTCTCACTATTGAATTTTTTCATTTATTTTTTGTTGGTATTATGAAAATGGGGAAACCCCAGAAAGCTAACATAATGGAGAAATATAATAGCTTTCGAATAGGAAAAGAATATATATACATATTGTTTTACTGGTTTACTGCTTGAGAGCAGTGTTTTTTTGTTGAAAAAACACCGCTATATATCGTTACCTATTGTGGCGTTTTTTGTTACCAAACGCTGCGAACTTTTGCGGCGTTTGTCATATCGCCGCATGTGTTTTTTGCGGCGCTTAAAAATGCCGCTATAGGTAAAAAACGCCACAAAAAGTCAATTTTGTTGTAGTGAGCTAACAAAATAAACTCAAATAAAAAGTAGATACAAACAAATCTGATTGAATTGGTAAACAAACCAAAAAAGGAGATTAAGCTATTGAAAGACCACCGATAAATCGTAAATCAGAATCGAGCGACGTAAGAAAAATATCTATGAACGTAAATAGCGTATCCAAATCCAATTCGAGAGTCCAAAGCAGAAAATATCAACGTGATAACAAATGAGCGCCATCTTGATTAACCGTGACAATGTCAAATCCAACCCTGAGAAAAAAGATAAACGAAAATAACAGTCAAATGATCGGAAATGTGCCAAAAGGCAGAAGAAACATGACATAAAGACAAAGGAAAACATACCATAAAGACATTTATTAGAAATAAAAAATAAAAAAAATGTAAAGATACAACATAACAAAATAAAATAAAATAGCAACGAATAATGACGATTGACGATCAAAACTAAGACAAGTATCGCCGTCGATTACAAAGATAAAAATAGGATTTAAATATTAGTAAACTAAGTATCATATATATATATATATATATATATATTTCGTACATTACTAATATTCCTATAAAAAAATCTGTTGACCATCAAGGTAATATTACAATGCATTAACTTATTAGTTCAGTTTTAATGATAAAACAAGTAAGATTTGTGTTTCTCTTAATAGGAAAGAAAAAAAAACTATAGGAAAACGAATGCATACGTAATATGAAAAGGCACATGGGCTATGATAATTGCAAACACGTGAAATTAACGCCGACAATCGGTCAAAAAATATTCGGACGTTCGTCACATCATGTGTTGGCAACCAAACTATATAAATCTCATCGGCAGAAACTAATATAATATCTCTTAAAATGTTGAACCATAAACATCAATAATTAACCAACATGATTAGTGCTTAAACATGTAATAAACCACGGCGTTCAACAATGCAAGGAACGAGGCCCAATGCCTACTTCGCCTCTCCCAACAATTAGACATGTAAACGACAAGTTCAAACAAACCTTATGAATTCATTAATACTGTGATTTATATACTAATTTAATTCTAAGTCGTCGTTAATTTTCTTTTTAGGTGTGAAGCCGACAATTGCAGTTCAACAATAATGTATGTAAATATATAAACAATTTAAGCCAAACGTACATTTGAAATCAAAATTCATACCAACTAATCAAATTACCACGTTAAGTTCGTGTATATACTTTTAAAAGAAAAAAAGTATGATTCTTAATATAGCAACGATCATACAATTTGAATACATTGATGTGTGTCTCGTTAAAAACTTTCTTTATATCTAACTTAATGAATAAGAGTGCAACACATCAATATTTACAGAGTGTGACGTAACAATTCCGCACTTAACACATCAACAAAACTTTAAACCCTAACTCATCATAAAAACGTATATCGTTCCCATGTAACACTCCCAAGCCTATGTTAAAGCATCCCAGCATTTAGTGCTAACAAATTTCCCGTAATGTAAAACACTAATACAAAGCAACTTTATTGAAAAAAAATAATGTCAAAAATACTAAAAGAATTACCTAACCGATGAAAATCATAGCAGAGGAATATGCATGTCTTCCAATACCAGCTTGAGACAAAGAGTGAGCATTACAGTTTCGTTCTCTAAAGGTAAAACACACTTTTCATGAAAACTGAGTACGATAAGCAGCATAATTAGATACAATTTCAGCAAAGCTAGATAGAGCAATACTATGGTTTTCAATCCAGCTTACATGTAACGGATTGTCGGATTTAATGATCAACTTATAATAATTCAACCATTTAGATGATTTAAATACATTTCTCGCTTCCAGGATAGTTGCAAGTTCAGCTCCAGTGAGGTCCAAACATCCAATGGATTTTGAGCAACGAATGAGTATAACGTCATTATGATCGCCTAAAATTCCTCTGATACCTACTTCTTTGAAACTTCCTTTAACTGCGGTATCTACATTAAAAAACACTCTTTCGAAGGAGGAAACCGAGGTCCGACAATGAGTGTGTGCTCTTTTGTACTCTTTATGGTCGAGGCTGTCGGGCAAAAAAAAATCTCGTTAATGGATGAAAAGGATTCAAGTCACTTGCTTTTACTCCAGAAACCAATCCTGAGTAGAGAGAGGTCATAACCAATCAACTTCGAAGTGCCTCCCCTTGAAGATGGTCTGGTTCCGACAAAGCCAAATAGTCCACACTATACCACAAAAGTTAAGTTCCACAAAGGCTAGCTTTAACGAAGGCTTTATAGACAAATTATCCCAAGTCAAAAGGAATGACTTCAAAGAACTTGGAACCACTACATTCATATTCCAATAATTACGCCATGCTTGCCAAACTCTCCACGAGACACACAATGGCAAAATTGATACTACAGTTTTAATCATTTATAAATACGACTCGATCAAATTTTAGTTTTTAATTGAATTAAAACCTAATTCGTTATTTTATATTTAAAAGAAATCCAGTTCATTATTATTTAATTATTTGTATTTATTGTAATTCTGTGAGGAATCTAGTCTAACACCTCATCCTATTAAGTTAGGCGCACCAAAGACAAAAAGAGACAAGTGTTGTTTATGGTAAGTACAAATCTAGATTTTGGATTTACTAATTTCAAGAGTTTTTGCCTTTTAAAACCTCATTTTTTGTCGGTTTGAAGCGATAAAATCTGAGAATCCGAAACCAAATATTAAATGAATTAAGGGTTCATGCACCACACCACCGAAGCTCTTGCATTTTCTGCTTATATATAACTCCAAATATCCACACTCCAAATCACACCCACAACAGTATTTGACTAGTAAAACTAGAAAGAGAGGAATCCGCAATCCGTTTTAGAGAAGCGAAAATGGTGGTCGGCATTGACAAGGCAGTTTCCGCCACGAATCCCGTCGTTTCATCCGTCAAGAAGACGCCCCCCTCCGACTCCGTTATCAACTTGGCTCGGTTTGTGCATCCCCGTCCTTTTCTTTCCCCTTTCAGTAGTGGGGTTTCTGACTGTTGCATTGATTGATGTTCCATTAAAATCCCACTTCATTGCATGCATTGCGATCTGATTTGAAAGTTTGATAAATGGGAGTTTTTCTTTTCCCTCTTTCACAGTGGCGATCCTACCATGTACCAGCCATACTGGAGGAGAATGGGAGACAAGTGTACGGTCGTGATCCCCGGTCATGATTTGATGAGCTACTTCAGCGACCCTGGAAACTTGTGCTGGTTTTTGATGCCGGAGCTCGATGATGCAATCAGGAGACTCCATCGTGTCGTCGGGAATGCGGTGATTGACGACGACCGATATGTCGTTGTCGGCACTGGCTCGACCCAGCTCTTCCAGGCGGTGCTTTTCGCCCTCTCTTCCCCCCACAATCCTGACAATGAGCCCCTCAGTGTCGTCGCCGCTGCCCCTTTCTACTCGGTAACCCTCTTGATACAATTTTAACCCTTCATTCCATTGACCTTTGACTTGTTTCCCCCCCCCGCCCTTTTTATAACTCGGTTGAGTCAAATCAATGTATCCCACATCGTGTTGGATTCATTACGTTCTTATCGTTTTCATCGAGGATGGTTCAGAAACGACATCGGGAAACATTTACACTATGGGGTTGTCTCGAATGCGGAATAGACAAATTACTGTGGAAGGAAATGGGAAGAGGAACAAACATGTTTTCTTAAAAACGTAATAACTAGTTTTTCCAAACATATGCATGTAGGCATTGTTTCTGGATCTTAGAGAAAACATGGTAACATGGGCATGTCTAGTTTCTTAAACCATGTGATGAGTCAACCCCCTGATTCTCCACTGTCTGGTTCCAAATTTGGTGTAAAAAAAAAGCCACTTTAAACAATATTTTGAGCAGTTTTTGTATATTTTTATGTGCATTTTGTTCACTTACGATATCGAATTAGCAGTCGTATCCAGAGGAGACAGAGTTTCTTCATTCGGGGTTGTACAAATGGGCAGGTGATGCGTACTCCTTCGATAAAGATGGAGCTTACGTGGAGTTGGTGACTTCTCCGAACAACCCCGATGGAACGATTCGAGAAGCGGTTGTGAATCGCGATGGTGGTAAACTGATTCATGACTTAGCCTACTATTGGCCCCAATACACCCCCATTACTGGTAAGGCTGATAATGATATTATGCTCTTCACCTTCTCCAAAGCCACTGGACATGCTGGTTCTCGCATTGGGTAAGATTCTCCTCCCTTGAAATAATTAATAATCGAGAAAAATGTTTTGATCATTTAATATATAGCCATTTTGTTCTGCAGCTGGGCTATCTGTAAGGATAAAGAAGTGGCTGCCAAGATGGTTAAGTACATAGAGCTGAGCAGCATCGGGGTATCCAAGGAAGCTCAGCTTCGAGCCGCCAAGATTCTCAATGTGATTGCCGAGGATTGCGCGAATCCCGGGCCTGAGAAAGAAGAAAACTTCTTCGAATATGGCCACCGTCTCATGTCGGACCGATGGGAAAAGCTACGGGAGGTGGTTAAGCGCAATGGTGTTTTCAGTCTGCCTAAGTTTCCTAGAGATTTCTGCACCTTCATGGGAAAAGACACTGATCCAAGCCCTGGTAATTCATCATTTTTGGCATATAATAAAAGCACCCATTTGATCGAAACTTATGAAATTTGTTCTTCTTTTTCCCAATGGTACAGCCTTTGCATGGTTGAAGATCAAGGATGGCTTGGACTGTGACAATCTCTTAAGGGAGTTTAAGATAATCACTAGGGGCGGAACAAATTTCGGGGTTGACTCGGATTATACTCGGATTAGCATGCTGAGTCCTGACGACGAGTTTAACCTTTTCCTGGAGAGGTTGGCAACAATCAAAGGGACCATGAATGGAAACTATTAGTTGTGATGGAGAGCAAAAGGCCTCTGTTCGTCTTTAGGTGTATAAGTGTATATCCTAAGTGTTTAGACTTTATCCCCATAGGGAGTAAGTTTAGAATGCAGTTTTAACTTTCTAGCTTGGAAAAGAAAGATAGGGCTTTATATATATGGTTTAAGCAGTCGGCTCTATCTACCCATTTGCATGTATGTTACTTGCTTAATCTTGCAAAATATTTCTGCTAAGCAACTTTTATGGCATGAGTGTGATATATAATTCGAGAAAGTATAGAAAGAAATGTCTTCAAAAGAATGATCTTAAATATCTAATATCATTCGAGATATTACAATTCATTGATATGACCTTGGGAGACCTAAATGACCTACTAAAACCAAATCTATCGCCGCCTAGATGAAATCAAGATCAAGAGGCAAGATGTGATCTAGATGAACTCAGTCTCATTCATCTTTGTTCTACTTCCTTGTAGAGACGCAACACTTTGACTTAAATCAATGATCGTTACCAATACAAAAATCAAATTCCTTATGGAGACAGAGCACTTTGACTTAAATCAATAATCGCTACCAACACAAAAAATCAAATCAAAAGAGATGAATCATTTATCGCTGATTTAATAAATTCTTAATTATCATTATTAAAGCAAATAACTTAATTATCACTTCGAAGTATACTTTTATGCCACCAAACGAAGAATAAAATGCATGGGATGGGATCTCTTGTCTCCTACACTGGACATATATAAAACACAATGCAGATTACAGAATAAAAAGGAAAATGTCCCATTGAGGTGACAGATTTGTGAATATGGTTTCTTAATGTTTTGTTTGCTTCCAAGACAAAGTAGACAAGGCCTGCCATCATTACCAGTGGATGCAAATAACTCAGTTGTCATCATATGAGCCAAGACATGATTTTTCATATTTTAGTCGGATCCTTGGACAATAATTTAGTTGCAATTTATACTAGCTTAGCTTTGCTGCAAGCTTCTGCTTTAAGGGTAGCGTCCTCTTGCGGTAAGAGTTGGAGGTGGTTTTATATAGTGTTCTTCTGATAAATGTATTTAGAAATATTTTGGAAAGTAAACACACATATTCATAAACCTCCATCTAAATATCAAAATTTGATTTTAGTAGAACACATTGATTTAAATCATAAACAACACATAGGTGCAATATGTGTTTAAACTAGTAGAGAACCTTAAAAGATATAGTTACTTCAATATTGCTGATGCCATTAAAAATATGTTAAAAGAATGAAATACATTCTAGTAGCAAGATTGAAGACTTGACTAGAAAAAAAATTGATTTTCTTACTACTTTTATTTTTAAAATTTTAATATTTTTCAAAAATATTTTTGAAATTTGTATTACTTTTAATAAATTGTAAGCTATTTTATAAATTTTAATATATTCATTTATTATTTTTAAATATTTAAATACTTTTAAATATTTCAATTTATTTAAAATTTTAAATTTATATACTTTTTATTAAATATTAAATAAACTCTCAAACTTTGTGTAAAAATCAATCAAATCATCAAAGTTTCCAAAAAAAAATTAAATTTCTCATTTCATCATTCACACGTTAACTTTTAATTAGTAAAGTTAACGATGACGTCAGCAAAATAATGATTAACAACGAAAATTATCGATGAAAAAATTCAAGAAATATTTTTTTTTCTAGATATTTGAGGACTTATATTATCCTTAAACCCATAATCTTCCATGTGACATTTTATTTGAGTATTGAATCTGATTATTAGCTGATGATAAAAAGAAAAGGAAAAGGAAAAATCAAACCGTATTTATAATCCAAAATTCAATCCATGTTTGACTTACATCCACGTTTCCTCCGCTCCCTTCAAAGGAAAAATAATGGAAAGTTATACGGACACCGTTAACATATAATTAAAAAATGTGTTATTGATTTTGTTATTATTTAAATAATAAAATTGATAAAAGAATTATTTAAAATATTATTATTTTTACCTAAAATATCAATGTGTTTTAATATTTCCGGTAAAGTTTCCAACAATAAAAAAAATCGGTAGAAAAAATAACAAAACCGGTAGTTTTTACTGGTTTTGTTAACAAAACTGGTAAAACACACAATAATAACAAAACCGGTAGAAATAATAATGTTTTCGATAATTTTTTACCGGTTTTGTTATTTAAATAATAAAAAAACTGATAACGTTTTTTTTAGATGTATATTAAGACTGCCCACGTGATTATTTTCCAAAGGCATAATGCAAACAAATACCCCTAACGTTTGACACTATATGCATTTGTGCCCAAATCATTTTTTTTGGAGTAGTTGTACCCACAACGTTTAAATCAGATTCAAAAGTCACCCCCGTTAGATGGAAACCGTCAGTCAACTGACGGTCAACGACTCTAGCTGATTAAGCAAGCACAGCTCATCAGTGTTGATGATGTGGTATGTCCACGTCATTAATATATGCTGACATGGAATTGACAATTAACAATTTTTTTTGGTTAAAAAAATTAATTTCAATTAAAATTTTACACCAATAAAAAAAAGTGACACATGTCACTCTCTTATTAATGTATAATGGCAAGAATGAATAAAGGCTCTTGCTTACATGCAAGGAAGGGGAATTAAACCTGGGGCAAGGGCATGCCATAGGCTGGCCTTTGCCACCGGGCCAAGTATGCTATTTAGTTTTAAAATAAAACAAAATATTACTTAACCTATATTATATGTTCAGGCCAACCATTTTCCATGGGGCAGTCACTCTCGGTTCTGCAGAAGATAAGTGGTTTAGCAAGTATCCGACAATGGGGCATCGGAAAAGCGAGCCGAATCTCTATTTTACCTGTCAAAAAAACCGGGAAAAGGTAACTATCCTAATAACCTCACCGAAGATGAGCTGGAGGCAATCGGACTAGGGTATGACCGGATGGTCCGGTTCATGGAAAAAGACGGTTTTCGGATGAAAGGGTGACAATGATAGGGGAAGTGAAGAACCATGAGGAATGGGAGAAGATTGAGCAGTTCGAGATGGCTTCAGAGTTTGGGAAAAGATTGGAAACGATGGATAAAAACATTGGTTTTAGGTATTTCTGGGTGTTTGTTAGACACCCAAAATGGAGATTAAATGAATTGCCTTGGGAACAATGGACTTTGTGATTGAAGCAAAGAAAACCGAGAGGTTAGATAAGTGGAGTTTGATGGGAAGATTAGGAAACAAAGCTAGATAATTGATTACCCAATGTGCAGCTTGGACGAGACCAGATATCATTTATGTCAAGAAGCCTGTTTACCAGTGTAGATTTGAGGACCAAGATGAGCTCTTTAACGCATTGATACCGTTTCTCGATCCGAAAACGGAAAGGGATTACTTGTTCGAGGTCGAAAATGAGGACGGGAGTGTGGCGATGTGTTTTTATTTCGAAGGGTTGTGTAAGATTGTGAAGGTGAGTCAAAAGGCTTTTGTGGATGATGTGGTGAAAGGGTTTGAGAAGTTGAGTGAAGAAGGGAAGTCCAGGTGTTTGGGGTTTTTGTTGGAGAACCATCCCGTGCGACTTTTGCATCCCTATACAAAGGAATGGAAGGCTAAGTTGGAGGAGATGGAGTTGGGTTGTGATGCACAGGATGACGATGAGGCCTACGGTGGACGTCGAGATTCGGGTGAGGAGCAGTTCACGGATTGGATTGAGGATGATGAGGATGATGGCAAAGATGAAAATGAAGCAGAGGATCAAGATAATGTGGTAGTGGACATTGAAGATGATGGAGATGAAGAATTTGGGACCGGAGAATGAAAAGTACTGGGAGGAAGAGTTCCAGAAGGCATTAAGTAGCTCTGATAGGATGGAAAAGCTTGCAAAACGAAGTGTTGAGATATCTACAAAATTCTACAAGCAGCAGTTGGGGGCAATGCAAGCTGACAGAAATGCAAAACCATGGAAAATGGTTGGCCTGAACATATAATATGGGTTAAATAATCTTTTGTTTTATTTTAAAACTGAATAGCATACTCGGCCTAGTGGCAAGGGCCATCCTATGGCATGCCTTTGCCACCAATTTTTTTTTAATTGAAATTAATTTTTTAAATAAAATTTTTTATATTGATGTGTCAATTCCACGTCAGCATATATTAATAATGTGGACATGTCATGTCATCATCGTTGATGAACTGTGCTTGCTTAGTCAGCTAGAGTCGTTGACCGTCAGTTGATTGACGGTTTCCATCCAACCGAGGTGACTTTTGGATTAGATTTAAACATGATGGGTACGACTAATCCAAAAAAACGACTTGGGCATAAATACATATAATGTCAAACGTTAGAGGTATTTGTTTGCATTATGCATTTCCCAAAAATAATGAAAATGATGCCAAACATCAGAATTTTCCTACTCTTGTTCCTGCCCTGACCCTTTATGGAAGTGTTTAGCCTTGGCCAGTTGGCCTGCCTTCCACTTCCGGACATTGACAATAAAAACATGAAAAACCCCACAGTACCAATTAGGGTAGTAAGTGAAATTGACATATAATAAATTATTCTAGCGACTTGATTATAGTTTAATCAATTTATTATTCTAATAAATTTAACTCAAGCTCAAACTCAACTCGAATTCTTAATGAGTCAAAACGAATTACTTAATATTCGATTCAATAAACTCGCAAACAACTCGGAAAAATATATTAAAATTTTAGATTTTTTTAGATTAAATTATTATTAACATTAGTACGTTGTTTTTTTTAAATATATATATATATATATATATATATATATATATAAAGATTTTCATGTACTTAAAGTTTAGACTTGAACTCTAAGAATATTTCGAATTCAATTTTCTTCAAACTCGAGTCAAGCTTCAATTTTTTATTTCAAGTGAAGCTTAAAAATTTTAAATTCACGAGCGTTCGAGTTAAGCTTGACAATTTTAAACTCGTAAGTTTTCAAGTCGAATCAAACACAAACCCTTTTTGAATATAGTCAAGCTCAACACTACTCGAGCTTGACTGTTATACTACTGTCAATGAG